AGGCCTCCAATGGTGTCAAAAGTCCTCAAAACGAGTTCCGAAGGCCTCTTTTATATTGTAGGGCACTTCTGGGTTGAAAAAGGGAAGAAATCGCACAAGAATCCTATTCCCCGCAGGTCTGGTCTGCGCGTCACACGAGTCGTGTCACATGCCACACGACTCGTGTGACTTTTCTCAACATTTTGGCGAACTCCCAGGCTCACACGACCGGGTCACACGAGTCGTGTGAGGCACACGACTCGTGTCTCAACCCACACGAGTCGTGTGAAAAAGCCGTAGCTGCGTGTCTTATTTTTTCACCCCACACGACCCGTGTCACTACCCACACGAGTCGTGTGGCCTCTTCTGCACCTATTTTCGCCGTTTTTCGTCCTGATTCCATTTCCAACGCATTATCGGGCATATTTCCTGCAAAAACAATGACAAAAACACCTCTATCATAGATTAATAAATAAAAGAAAATGGTGCACAATTACACGATAACCATGGCCAAATATCACAATATATCGCTCATAATGCATGAAAATATGATGAATGTCATACACACCATCCGCATGCCCGTGCTTTCACCTCTTGTGAGCCTTCTGCCGCGAACCTCCCGTCGCGCCATCGTCGCGACCCTTTCTCGCGCGTCCCGTTCGAACGCACCGGGTTACGCGAGCGCGTCTACGCCCCGCGTGTTTCACCCTCGCGCAGCCTTCACGAACCTTTTTTGCATGGCCCCGGCGGTCGTCTCGACCTTTTCCGCCCCACTTCTCGTGACTCGAGCGCGTCTCATCCTCGGGCTCGGATGGGTCGATGACCACATCCTCATCATTCCTCCCCCCTTTGAGTCTTTCCTTGTCCTCAAGGATAATGAATTGAAGACTCATTAACTTGACCGGCTCGGATCCCTCGTCAATTGTGCACAACTTGATTCGTTTTTTGTCTCGTTCAAACTCCATCGCGCCTTTTCTGAAATTTGTGGTTATGGACCCCAGTGTCTCCAGCCATTGGACTCCCAGCACCACCTCGGGTCCTTCTAGCGCTAGCACGTATAGGTCTACCTTTAACTCTTCACCTTGTACACGTATTGGCACCTTCTTGTACAATTCTGAACTCCAAAGCTCCTCCCCATTTGTGATCTTAACCCCAAACGGTACCACTTCCATCATGGGTACCTCAAGCTTTGCGGTGAAGTCCAAGTTGATGAAGTTAAGAGTTGACCCATTGTCGACCAACACATTGACTCTCCGCCCCAAAATCTCGGCCTCAAACCTCAGCATTTTAGGTCCCTTCTTCGCTTGGACCATATGAATCATCTCTAGTCGAGGATTTAAATATAAGTTCCTCCCTTCATCGTGCTTTTCCTCGGGTTCGGGCTCGTCCGCCGTGGACTCGTCACCCTCGGAATTGATCACCTGGATCAAGTAGGCCTGCTTGCAACGATGTCCCGGGGTAAACTTCTCCTTGCACTTGAAGCAGAGACCTTTTTCTCGCCTTCTTTGCATCTCCTCGTAGGTTAAGTACCTCACCTCTGGTGGTCGCGCCCTGAAGTTGCTAGGCGCTCCGCGGCTCGCGTCTCGGGTGAGGTTGGTCTCGCTATGCATTGCTCGTTGCGGCTCGGTAGGGCGAGTATCGTTGCGCCCGACCCTTCTCGTTGCGGCCAAGTGGTCGACATGTCTGCGTGCGACCTCCATGGCTTCTCGCATCGTCGCGGGCCTCACTAACCGAACCTCCGCGGCCAGCTCGAACTTCAGTCCCCCTACGAATGCCCCGACAAGTGCTCCCTCGGGCCATCCGCGTACGCGACATGCGATACGCTCGAACTCCCTTTGGTAATCGCGCAAACTCCCTATTTTGATATGTGCGAGTGCCTCGTCATAGTTATGGTAGTCCGATGTGCCAAACCTTGTGATGAGCTCCTTCTCAAAATTTTCCCATCGGATTTGCTCGTCGCGGTTGTGATAGATACTCGTAAGCCACTGCCACCAAACATTAGCCTCGCCATCCAGATAATAGGCCGCATACCATACCCACTCGGCTCGAGCAATTTCATTGAGATTAAAATATTGCACAGCTCGGTTGAGCCACGCGTCCTTGATCGGTCCCGTTAAATGTTGACATCACAATCCTCGGCTTTTCGACCCTAGGTCGCCCTACGTTGGTCGGGGCATGAGATCGACGATCGAAGTCGTCCTCTCTCTCCTCGTACTCCGGCCGCTCGCGTTCATACTCCCGTGAACGTGCCTTTGGTCGACCTCGTGGCGGTGGTTGCCGAATGAAGCGTAGGACCTCGTCGATCCTTTGGTTCATGGCATCCATCATGGCTTGTTGTGAATTTCGGAACGTCCTCTCGAGGTGCGTGAGGTTTTCCATCATTGACACGTTGGTGGCTTCCAATCCTTCGCCTAGGCTCGTCATCTTTTCCTCCAAATCCACGAGCTTCTCCTTGGTTTCCTTGGCCATTTTTTTTTCTTTTTTTTAAGACTTTAAAATTAAAGAAAGGGATGGGATAAAGAACACACGATTAATACTCTCAATGAAAGCACCAATGATGAATAATCGCGTGTTCCGACTCGAACCTAGCCTCGGACTAGGCGTGTGCGTAGATCCTCGGGTAGGGTTGCGGACGACTCGGAGGTTGAGCTCCTTATCTTCTCGCGATAGGTGAGACAGCTCGGACGTGAATCCTTGCCAAACTCGTCTTGCTCGAGCAATGCGGTGGAACGCCCTTCTCGTAACAAGGGTTTTGCACTAAATCTCAAAAGAAATCTAACACAAGAATTTGAACACAAAGTTCGGTGTTTTCATTAATTCAAGACATGATATTTCGAGTGACAATGGGGCATATTTATAGATGCCAAACTAAGTCTAATCCTAGTCTAAGAAGAACTCCTAATGCTTGGTAATAAATAAAGTCCTAAGGAAACTATATATCTAATGAATAAATACTTACCAAAACTACTAAGATACTATTAGGCACATGCCTTTTATTCCAAATCCTAATCATATTAATATTCCTAACCATGCTATGAAAATCGGCCATTGGCCATCTAGAAGCTTCATGCGTCTTTCGCCGCACGCCTCGTCCAAACCCTAGCTGCGACGGCTAGTCCTTGTCCTCCGAGGTCATGGTCTTCATCACGCCCCCACGCGTCCCAAGCGTCTTCTGCCTTGCGCCCCAAGTCGCGTTGTTTATCCTTAGGCGGCGCGATACTCATAGTCCTTCGAGGACTCGTGCTCGCCAGCCCTTGCACGTCGCGCCTCCTGCGCCCGCCAGCTGTCTCTCGCGCGTTTTGGCACCTGCCCGCGTGTCTGTACGCGTTGCGCGCGGATGCGGTCTTTTCGCAAGCGCCTTCCTCGCGCGCGTCCTCTCGCGCACCATCGGTCGTCACGCGCGTAGCCCGCACGTTGGTCCCCACTGCTCGTCTTTGGCCGGTCGCGGTGCGTGCTAACCACCCAATCGCGCACCACCCGATCCTCCGCCGCGTACACGCCATCCGCATGCCCGCGCTTTCGCCTCTTGTGAGCCTCTTGCTGCGAACCTCCCGTCGCGCCATCGTCGCGACCCTTTCTCGCGCGTCCAGTTCCAACGCACCGGGTTACGCGACTCCCGCGTACAGCGCGTCTACGCCCCGCGTGTTTCACCCTCGCGTAGCCTTCGCGAACCTCCTTTGCATGGCCCCGGCGGTGTCCCGACCTTTTCAGCGCCACTTCTCGTGACTCGAGCGCGTCTCATCCTCGGGCTCGGATGGGTCGATGACCACATCCTCATCAGCATGCCTGCGCGATGCAGGGTGCGCACGGATGGCCGGCGTCAGGTCACGGCTGAGGCGCGGCTGACTCCAGCAGGTACAAGATGATGGTCGTCGGGATACGTATAAACGACTGAAAAATATGTATTACCCAAACACCTTCTCCGAACGATCTTGGTGGAGCGATCGAACGAAGCCCTCGAATCTCACAAACTCTCAAGAACAAGTCGAATGGATCTCTTGGGAGAGAAGACCGATTAGCTTGTATTTGCTATCTTCTGTTTGGAGGTTTGAGACTTGATGTATTCATAGGACTATAGTAGAGACCCTAGAGAGGTGTTAAATATGGGCTCTCCAAGCATGAGCCCAACTGTGGGCCAAACCCACTCCGTTGAATACTCGAATAATAAATCATTTCACAAAAGACATATTATTGCACCCTCAATTTAACTATGAATTACAGTTAGTTCGTTTCCCAGTTTATTGCTTGACTTACATCATTGTATTTAAGATCTAACATTCGTTGATTAATTTAATTACCGACAATATAATTAATCAATAAAGTACAAAGTTATGGTCCTTACCTTAAAAGACACCAGTACATTGTTGAGTTATGTCCATAGGCGAGTTGTGATTTGGTCCTTGGTTGGTCTTTACCTTAAACACATCAGTACACGCGTAGATTGTGTCCTTGACTTGATCGTTGTGATTTGGTCCTTGGTTGGTCCTTACCTTAAACACATCAGTACACGCTTAGGTTGTGTCCTTAACTTGATCGCATCAGTACACCAGTGACCAGTGAGTTAGTGTCATTACGTCATATTCTAAAATTCAATTGGGTACAAACTCGATATTGATATATTTTCACTTGATTGTAATTAAACTAAACTTCCATTTGTTTTGAGTGATTCACTGAGGAATTTGAAATCCATAGATTTTAAATTTACAAGTTCAAATGCTCATGTAGGCTGTGATAATAATGGAAGTTGGAGGATTTCAAATTCAAGCTACTTGTTTTTTAGTCATTGTTTTCAAGGATTTGAAACGACTCCTCAAACCTAATCATTTGAAATTCACTTTTTATCACCGTTGACGACCACGCCGTTCACGATGATTTAAGTTCATCACCACCTCGAGACCATCGGTGCGAGCTAAATAATTTATTTGTAATATTTTCAACACATCCATTCAAGAAGTATGCAAGTAAAAAAATTATATTTCAAAAATTTTGAAGTTAAGGGATTTCAAATCACTCAAAATAAATGGAGCCTAAAAGAAATTACAAAAGATTACAATATCAGCAACAAGTACATGATGCATAATACTTCCAACATCACCTTATAAAGAAAGAGGAAGATACTTTGGGTTGTAGCATTCAAAAATATATATTTGAACTTAGGATGCCCGTAACTGTAATTTCACCACCACAACAGGATAACAATATTTGTAACTCATTGGCAGATGTATATTCATAAGCGAAATCCACATATCTAAAATGGAACCAATGCGATAATCTCAAAGCGATGCATCTTCTTCAGCTACAAAAATAACCAAAATGGTAAACATCAAACAAGCTCTTTGAAACATTGCTACAAAAATTCCATCAATGAAAAGGACAAGATTAGGTATCAGAGTTCCATTTCTTCACGACAGAAAAATAAATCGAAAATTATGACTGCAAAACAGCATATTTATTCCCAGCCAGCAACAGTAGATACTCCTTCAACGGCAGTTGGTGGGGGCACAGCCGAGTCCCATCCTCCTCCAGCAGCAACAGCTGCAGTTTATCAACAGTTCAAGCTTATAATGAATGGTTTATAGAAACAGGGTAACATTCTTTCTTATTGATTTAAACCAGAATAAAATAGTAAAACGTCAACATGCATATGCAGAACCCAACCCATGTGCTGCTTAAATTCTACTACACAAAAGTCAGTACTTCTTTTTGGGGTCTCAAAATTGAATAAAAGACCATCATGTAAGAAGATTAAGAAAATAAGAAACTATGTAAATCCAACATATAAATGAACAGGAAAAACTATGTAATATAAATCCAACATATAAATCAGTACTTCTTTTCTTATTTGTTAGACAACATATAAATCCAACACAAGGACAGGAAAAACTATGTAGTATACAAAGACAGGTACCACAGAAAATAAGAAAAAATAAATGAAACTGATGAGACTGACCAGTTGACTCTGCAGCAGTCCAACCATTTCCAGCTGGAGCAGGAGAATCACCAACAGACCATTGACCATCGGGAATTTGGCCACTAGACCACTCGGCACCAGCTACTCCAGCAGCAGCACCAGAATAATCAGCATAATCTGCAATAGCCGGAACCTCCTCTTCTTCTTCCTTAGACTCCTCAGGCTCCCGGTAGAAAAATAGATCCACCTGGCAAACACAAAATTTCTTTATAAGTATTACCCAGATAATAAATGGCATGAAAGCACCGACAAATTCGATTTCAAGATACTTATTAACTAATGTATAAGCAATTGCTTTATTACCATGATATCCCATTTGTGACCGGGAGCAACAAGACCGCGCATCTGGAGCACCATCCTTCCCAAAAGCCAAAAGAGGCAGCCAATGCTGTGTTTTCCCTTGTTATTGGCTGGAATACCGATATCAACATACCTCATTGGGGAATCAGTGTCACAGAAAGCAATGGTGGGGATGTTAGATAGAGAAGCTTCCTTAATTGGCTGCAAAACAAAGTCAATAAATCACAACAAAAGACATTTAGCAACAATGGAGTAGCCAAGCGTGCCTATTTATTTATACTAAGAAAAAAACAAGGTCTAGAAATATCTCTCGCCTGATGATCAGTCCTTGGATCAGTGAGGATGAGAAGCCTTGGCTCACTAAAGGAAGTTTGGAGCTGATTTGTAAATGTACCAGGAGTATGGCGTCCAGCAATTGCATGGGCCCCAGTGTATTGGGCAAACTTGAGCACGGCCCTCTGACCATAGGGCCTGGCAGACTGGACAATGATGTCCTGAGGGTTCTCAATTGCAACAATAACCCTGGCAGCCAACTGGAGCTTCTCCCAAGTTTTCCCGAGGTTGATAATGTATATTCCTGCCAAAAAAAAAAAAAAAAATCAAAACTCAGAAAAAGTTCAAGAACATGTGAAGAATAACTAAATGATAGGACTACATAGCACTTCAATAAATCAGATCAGTTTGAGATATGCAGTGATAAAGGGGGCACAACTATACAATCACCATTCATAGAAAAGCTTAGCTAGTCCCATTGGGTACATTTAGCATACACTACCTCAAACCAGTAGCTATAGGAATTGAATTACTCATAACTTTCTGATTTTCTTTGTATTTCTATCTTATTATTTTTCTTGTTCAAGTTCACTAATTTATCAGAGAGAATTATTTCATAACAAAAGCCTGTGAAACAAATTATTTCATCAGTACCGCAGATTAGCAAGCAACTACTACATGGATCTGATGCATTCATATATACCACCAACAAACTCATAATCAAAACACTGAATAAAGAACTATTACCCAATTTGCATCAACATTAAATAATACGAATTCACACGCACGAACAAACAGGCACAAACCGTCATTTCGGCGCTTAAAGACATAGCGCTCCATCTGAAAGTTGCAGTTTTTGGTGCCGAGGTGAGCTTCGGCCGCCAGCAGCATCTGTATGTCCTTCTCCTTGGTCGACAGCGCCATGATTCTGTCCGAGTGTACAACAATGTCCGGCTTTGCTCTGCAAAAATGGGCGGGCGTGGCTCAAGTTTTGCGTCTTATACAAAAAAACCCTAGGATGGAGGGGATTTAGGCAGGATTAATCGAGACCATTGGATTTATCATCGTCGGGAGCTTTTCTACTAGTTCTGGACTGAAGTACCTTATCTGGGCTTGGGCTCAACCCGACGAATCCACACCATTATCACATCATGCACACCGAAAAACGATTAATCTACCTTACATCGTGTTTTCTAAATAACATATCAAATTATTGGGAAATTTTTATCTATCTATTTTGAAAATACTAGTGCGTGGCCCGTGCGATGCACGGGAAAACAATATTACGATTGTATTATAAATTTAATATATAAATAATAATCATGATTTATCCATTGTTTTTAAATTAAACCCGGTTGGACACCGTCCGACCGGATGGACCGAGAACCGATTCATAACCAGTCTAGTTCGCTTGAATAAAATATTTGTTCTAGAATCCGTCAACACCAGTCGGTTGGACTGGTAGGATCGATATGATTTTTTAAATAAATTTTGTTATATTTAAAATTATTTTATATAAAATAGAGATTTATAAATTATTTATCAATTAGTTTAAACATTTGAATTTATAAATTGTTTAAATATCTAAGTAACATATTTTATTTAAATATATTACAAAAAGTACTATATATATGTATATATATACATTAAAATGCTTATTATTAAAATCTGAACAAACCACGAATGATTTAATAAAATAGCATGATCGTTTCAATAACGGTCCAGTTCTGAAAACCTTATATTTACTGTACATTAATAAATATTATAATAAAATATTATTTAATTTATTTGATAAAATGATATATAAATATTCATAAATCATGAAACATGTTGAAATAAAAGTATTGTTAATACGATTATTTGAAGTTTGGACTACATTACCTTCACGTAATAAAGTATTTTCAATATAAAATTTATATTTAGGTTCAATAATCGACTTGGTGTGGTCGAACTGATACATAACTTAGTCAACTTTGACCAACCAAGTTGTGTCAAGTTTTTTGACTATTTTAATTAGAAAAATACTATAGGTACATAATAGTGTACATAGAGGTGTACATAACACTCACATTAAGTGGGTCCTATCACAAATAAAAATTAAATGGACCCCACTCCACGTGAGTGACATGTACATCTCTATGTACATTTGTTATGTACTTGTAGCATTTTTTTTTTTTAAAATATCACCTAAAAGTAATTCAATCAACTTGGACAGTACCCTAATTCAATCACCCGATTTATCTGAATAAATTTTCTTATTTTCTTTAAATATATTTAATTTTATGAAATACAAATATTTTATGATTCATATAATAAATGTCTATACCAAATGATAGTATATTAGAACTATAAATTATATATCTAAAGAGGAATTAATTATTTTTACTTTATGCATATTAATAAAAAATAAACATAGTAATTTTTAAACAATTAAGATTAATTGATCGATTATGCAATTTAATGAATATTTTTAGTGTTCAATATTTTTTTTCAAGGCGCAAATATAAAGACCGAGAATCTAAAACTTTTGTTATATTTTGAATTGAGATTTTATAAATATAAAGACCGAGATTTTAATGTTGTTCATTGTTTCAAAAAAAATAAATAAATACAAACATACACACTTAATAAATCTTAGCCAGATTTTTTAAATAATAAAATAAACTTTCAAAACTACCTGTTCTTAAGCAATTCAAACTTTAAGGGGACATCTGTGATTCAAAAAATATTAAGGGATTATCATTATATTTAAGAGAAATCTCATTGGTACTTTCTGCAATGAACACTCATTCAAATGATGTTCTCATAGACCTAACATAAAGTAGAGTTTTGTAGTTAACCTTTAATTTGTTGGCTCTCCCCCACGTTAATATTCATCTAGTTTTCCTATTCACATGAAGTTCTAATTTAATTTAATTCTTTCAGGATGCCTACAGACTGCAGTTGAAGCTGTTAACATACACACTTAATAAATTCTAGTCAGATTTTTTAAATAATAAAATAAACTAAAGCCCGAAATTTAAGGTAGTATTTAATGTTGTATGATTTAAAAAAAAAATAAGAAAAAATCTTTAATGTTGTTATATTTAAAGAATCTAAAACTTCTGTTAAATTTTGAATTGAGATTTTGTAAATATAGAGACCGAGATTTTAATGTTGATTGTTGTTTCTAAGAAAAAAATAAAAAAAAAACATACACACTTAATAAATCTTATTCTAATTTTTTAAATAATAAAATAAACTAAAGCCCGAAATTTAAGGTGACATTTAATGCTGTATGATTTTTAAAGAAAAAATAAGAAAAATAATAAAACTTACTATTTATAGACTGCATTAAATTATGACCTATTTTTTGCTACTATTTTTGGTAAATAGTAATTCTTATTATATATACTAGTATAGTCCCGTGCGATGCACGGGGATTTATTATCTTCGTCCCTTTTATAAAGCAATGTTCAGTTAAAATTCAAAGTACTTACTAAAGGAAAGATCATGTCATTAATAATAAATAAATTAATAAATACAATGATAATAAAATATATATATTATTGAACACTTCCTTATATACAACGTTCATGGTTTGATTCTTTGGCACGTCATCGTCGCCGCAAATTAGGACTTTCAAACCCATTTCTGTTTGTGACACGGGAGACAGCAACATACAATTGACCATGACTAAACACTGGTTTCTTAAGAAAGAAGCCCACATGCGATAATGATTGTTCCTGACTCTTGTTTATAGTCATGTTGTAAGAAAACATAATGGGAAACAATTAATCCAATAACATCTACAAAAATATAAGAAAATGCATCATATTGAAATGTATAACATATAAAATAGTTTATTACAGATTTAAATTAAAAAAATCGAAATAAGAAATAAACAAAAAAATTATAACGTACCAAACAACATGACTTCATCAATGTTACGAACATCCATTAAAGTTAGAAATAGAGAAATCACCCCTCCATTTGATAAATCACCTCTCCATTTGGTAAATCACCCCTCCATTTGATAATCTTGGTTTGACCATTGATAATGATCCTCTTTTTACCTATCGTCGATTTATGGATGCCAGTATTGCTATTCACTTGATAGTTTGTCAAGATATAAGCGCCACCTTCTTTGATATCACCGATGATTTTTTGGATATTGACAGGTCGAATTATGCCAGTAATTCATCCTCCCTAAAACATTGCATAATGAATACTTCAATAAATAAATTATAAAAGATGTTGCATAAAATGATGCATTTAAATAATACTAAATGAATATATTACCTCAAAAGCATAAAAGATAATCTCAAGAACATTTCGGTAATTGTGTATGTCTTCAACTCGTTGGAACATCCTAATTATGAGTAGCTTGATTGGTGGCTTATTGGATCTTTTGATATCCTTGATTACTCCAAAATCCGAAGCCATTTTCAATGGTGATGTAAAGCTTGTAGAAAAAATTGTTTTGTGGGATATATTGGATGTCGAATACTTTTTGTTCAACGTTGGTGATGTTTATATAGTCATGTGTATGTGCCATATGTCTAGGAAATAAAAAAATATTTACGTAAGGTATTTAATATGATCCGATCCGATTTTTTTTATTATGATTATGATTGATTTCTAAAAATATGTGTTATCGGTTTTGTTAAAAAAAATAAAAAAAAAATGTGAAACGTGATTCACTTGTGAGAGACGAACGAATATTTAGAAGATTATGTAGCCAAAAATAATGGAGTTTGTTACAATGAAATTTGGTAAGACTTTTTGGATAGATTGAAAAATAATATTTTTATTTTGATCTATTTATTTGGACAAATCCAAAACTTTAATTTACAAAATTATAATCTTTAATTTTTTGAAACGCGTAAAATTTTCTAAGATAACTTCTATAAAACAAAATGTGATCAAATCATAATTGATTTTTATGCCTCAATATTCCAAATCAAACCTTACAAATATGGTATGATTATTTACTATTAATATTTTATTTTTTCAAACGTCTGATTCTCTTAGGTTTATATGAAACAAAGTTCAATTAAATCAAAATTGATTTTTATGCCCACACTAAAACTTTATCAATATGATATGTTTATTTTATTTATTTATTTTTTTTCAAATCTACGACTCAAATTTTCGAGAGAGAGAAAAAAAAAAGGAAACAAAATCTTATCAAACCTTATCAAATTTTCAAGAGAGGAAAAAAAACGAAAAAAATTGGAAACAAAATCTTATCAAGCCTTATCAATAATGAAGATTCGTGTTTCCACGAAAAGCTAACAAAATCCCGTGGTTACCAAAATCCTATCAAATTAGTTAAGAAAATCCCATTAAATTGGTTAACAATATTGGAACGCATTTTGTTAGGAAAGATTTACGTAATTTATCTATCTAATTAATATCATATTAACGTGTGGGCCCAGTGATATTAATTTAGTATAGCATCCATTATCTCAGAATAATTATTTGTTTGATTTACAACATTAATTTGAATGGAAAAAATCCGTAATTGTTGAGATATCTCAATTCAAAATCTCAATTTTTTAGCATAAGAATTTTCAAATTTGTTACCAATAAAAATAGATTCCTATGGGATTAATATTTAAATTTATTAAATTTTGGTATAAGAATCTCCAAATTTGTTACCATAAGAATCTTCAATTTGTTACCATAAGAAACCCATAAAAATCTCCTATGGATTGGAGTTTATCCATATTTAGTATAGCATCCATTATTCTCGGAATAATTTTTTGTTTGATTTACATCATGAATTTGAAGGGGAAAAAATCCGAAATTGTTAGGATATCTCAATTCAAAATCTCAATTTTTTGTCATAAGAATCTCAATTTGTTACCATAAGAATACCATAGAAATCTCCTATGGGATTGGAGTTTATCAATAGTTGGTATAACATCCATTATTTTTGGAATAAATTTTTGTTTGATTTACAACATTAATTTGAATAGGAAAAAAATCCGTAATAGTTGGAATATCTAAATTCAAAATCTCAATTTTTTGGCATAACAATCTTTAAATTTGTTACCAATAAAAGTAGATTCCTATGAATTAATATTTAAAATGAATTAGATATTGGTATAGGAATCTCCAAATTTGTTACCATAAAAATCTCCAATTTTTTTGGGAT